CAGGACAGAGCGGAGTTTAGGGCTGTTGTACATAGGGTCGCTATGAGTCGCAGGCGACTCGATGGCACATAACAACAACAACAACATGTTCATGAAATATATTGGCCTAAAGTATTCTATTTTAGTGGTGTTTTCACCTGATTTCAGTATCAAGTATATGTTTGCTTCATAGAATGAGTCTGGGAGAATTCCATCATTTTTTGTTTTCTGAAATACTTGGGTAGATTTGGTGTCAGTTTTTCTCTGAATGTTTGATAAAATTTACTTGTAAAGCCATTTGTTCCAGGCCTTGGGTTTTGGGATTTTTTTTGTGGTAAGTTGTTTTATTACCTGTTCAATTTCTTCTTTTGTAATGGGTCTGTTCTGGTGTTCAGTTTGTGTCAGTTTAGTTAGGTTGTGAGTTTCTATTTTATCATAGATTAATACTGTTACTTCTGCTTTTTCCTGGTTGTCACTTGCTTGGTATATTCTCCCCCCCCTTTTATTTTTTAGTCTTTATCTTTACTTTTCAGGTATATCTTATAGACAGCATATTAATATATTTTTGTTTCTTTATCCAGTCTTCTACTCTTTTTTTTCTCTTCAGTCGTACATTTAAACCATTCACATTCAGTGTAATTATTGAGAGGCAAAGGTTTATTGCTGTCATTTTGTTGAGGTTTTTTTTTTGGTGTTCCTGGTTACTTTGGACAATCCTTCTTTCTGTGGCATCACTGTTAAGAAGGACTAAGCTCATTGTTTCCTGCAACACTGGTCTTCTTTTTACAAACTTCCACTGGTTCTGTTTTTCTGAAAATATCTTGATGTCTCCTTCATATTTGATGGACAGTTTTGCTGGGTACAGTGTTCTTAGTTGACAGTTGTATTCTTTGTTTGTTTGATATATGTCATTCCACTGTCATCTTACACACATGGCCTCTGCTGAGAAATCTGCATTTAATCTTATTTGTTCTTCTAGGTTACTCTTTGTTTTTTCATAGCTATGTTCACAATTCTCTCCTTATCCTTGGTTCTGGCATATTTTTACTATGATATGATGCCTTGACCTTTTTCTTTTGGAGTCTTTTCTGTTTGGAGTTCATTCTGCTTCTTGTATATGTTCTCTCATTCTTCATTATGCCTATAAAGTTTTCTTCTAGTAATTCTTCCCCAACTTTCTTGGTGCCTTTATGTGCTTCTTCCTGTTTTACAATTCCAGTCATGCCCATATTTTTTTTTTTTATGGTATCCCCACATTATTATTAAACTTTCTTCTTTTTTCCTTCCTTTTTGATTCTGCTTTTTAGTCTTGTAGATTAGTGGGGACAATTCTATCATCTATTTCACTGGGTTTTTTTTGTTTGGTTGGTTTTTTTTCCTGTCTCTTCAACTCTGTTCATATGTTCCTCCAATATGTTGACAGAATCTGATACATTGGTCTTCATATTCTGGATTGTAGTTTCTTCTTTTTCCAGACCACTAATACCTCATTTGTTCTAACTACATTGCAGAGCAGATTATC